AATGGTACCAAAATGCTCAGTGGATATAGGCCTTTCAAATGGAACAGATAAATTTGGCATACAGCTACTCTGAAAATTTAGTTTCTGGTACCTAATGGTAGCTTGTACTTCTGCTTTCAGTATTGGCGGTCCATTTATTTCATTCTTTATTACCGGTTTTTCTCCTCTATTATCTTTGCAAAGTTCTTCTATGTATTCTGACCATCTGTTTAAGACATCCCCGTTGTCCATTTAAATATCCCCTCCCTCTGCTCTTATGCATCCTGTATTTGAGAATCCTTTTATCCCACTTACTTCTTTGATTTTGGAATGCATGTACTTGCTGTCCTTGTTTTGGTTCTTCTCTATTTGTTGACACTGATCATTTATCCATGTTTCTTTTGCTTCATTGCATTTTTTTCTTTATTTCTCTGTTTAAGATGTTGTACTTTTCCACATTTGATTTTGCCTTTCTTCGCTCTTCCATTAGATCTAGTTTTAATATGTCCTGGGTCATCCATTATTTTTAAGCTTTTTTAGCTTTCGGAGGGATATTTTCTTCCACAGCTTCCATTATTGAGTCTTTCGTTTTCTTCCATAGTTCTTCCGATTTAGTAATGTTTTCTAAGGCTTGAAATTTATTTCTTACATCTATATGGAGAAACGTTCTTTCAGTTTTTGATTTGTCTTTAAAAGACCTATGTCAAATTTAGGTTGATACTTTGACTTTTTGAGTTTCTTTAGTCTTATCCGCATTTTACACATGACTGGTACATGGTCACTATCACAGTCTGCTCCTGGCATTGATTTAGATGATTTTATTGTGTTTCAAAAACGTTTCTGAATAAGTATAAAGTCGATTTGATTTCTACTTCTATCGCCAGGACTCTTCCAAGTGTATCTTCTTCTAGGGTAATTTTCATACCAGGTGTTTGATATCACAAAATTATTTTCTTTGCACCATTCTACCAGTCGTTCCCTGCGTTCATTCTCTTTACCCAGTCCCCATGGCCCAACTATATCTTCTATACGTGTACTTCCTACTTTGGCATTAAAGTCTCCCATAACTATCTTTACATCTTGTGATTTCAACTGTTTCATTGCCTTATCAAGGTCTTCATAAAAAGTCTCAATTTCTTCGTTGTCGTGTTCTGATGTTGGTGCATATATTTGGATGACACCTATGTCAAAAGGTTTTCCCTCTAATTTAGCCACGATGACTCTATCTGACATTCCCAAAAACCTTTGATGCTCTTTGCTGTTGCTTCGTCAAATAAAATTCCGACTCCTCTTTCATGGGTTTTTCCTCCTGAATATATATAATTGTTTTGGATCCTCTTTTAATCAAGCCTGCCCCCTCCCATCTAACTTCTGAAAGGCCTAACATATTTAGCTTCATCCTGTCCATTTCCTGCTCCATATTATCTAATTTGCCTTTCTGGTACATTGTTCTTACATTCCATGTGGCAATGTTAAGTTGCTTATTTTTGCAGCTAATAGCTGGATGACGATCGGGCACCACCTGCTGCCCGTGGCGGTCCCTACCGAGCGGGGAGTTCAGAGCTGGATCATGAACCCCCTTAACGCTGTTATCTGATAAATGAATGTAATTTTCCATGACTATTCTTGGGATATTACAGCAGTGATTTCCCGTTACCTACTGCCGGTTTGTGTACAGTTTTCTCTGCTAACCTTTGTCATCCACTGACAACCCACAAGGCAGTGGGGGCTTTGGTAGGATTTATGGCGCCTCCCGTCGCCAAGATGGTCCCTCCTTCGAGTGTGTGAGGCATTTATTGAAGCACCTGTGCCACCAGGGTTCCTCTCTACTCTCCACGACCATCTCCCATTTGGTTCACAACTGCTTAGCAGCTAACCTCCATATCTGGAAGCCTTTCCCCTAACCTTGATTAAAGGCACAAAATATGTAATTTTCAGTTTGCAAGGACTATTGAAATTATCAAATTTTGGCGGCCTTTTTCTCATTAACTTAACCACTGAAACAAGGCTACCCCACCTTCTTCAATTGCAAATATCTTGACTTCTATTCAAGCTAAATGGTTATTATTTTGATTGAAAGCAAGGCAAAATGAATAAGCTTTCAGATGCTATCAATAACTCACATACCCAAAAACTGATGAGTCCCTGATTCCACCGCGTCATGACACATATAACTTGCTCCTTTCCTGCTTTTTTAGTTCATCAGCGAGCCGTCCAGTGAAACTTATTGTAATATATCTCTGTAACATCAAAGATAGTACATAACAAGATGGTCCACTCAGCCAAAAAGTGTCCGCTGGAAGTCCGTTCATTGCTTCAGATGGTGCTGCAGTCTTTGTTTTGACGCTGTCTTTCGTTTCTCCAGAAAAAGAATAAGAATAGCACCTCTTTGAGTGTGCATAGCAACTGCTGTTCATCAGCAGTTCGGATTCGTTCAGTGCGGAGATTTAGGGTTTTAAAAAATTTTAATGACCGCTTACCTCTCATTTTAAAGTCAAATTAAACGAAGAAAACAGTCACCGCTTCCTCCGAAGAGGTTTTTTGTCAGCGTAACCATTTAAAAAAAGTTTTCTTCTGAAATTTGAATTCTTATTTATTCAAAAACTTGTTAGTTTCATTTTGATTTTTTTCACACAAGTAGGGTAACTCAGTTCACAAATGGTGCGCATTTGCGAAGAGGGCGCCACCGAATTTTAAGGACACTTCTTAATTAGCTCAAAGAGAGGAGTGGACCATCTTGTTGTGTATGATCATCGGTAATATCTGTTACATGAGCAATAACTGTGTTCGGTTCACTATCGCTAATTGCCGTAGTAACGTCTCCTTGTTTGAATTAATTTATTTAGGACTCTTCAGGATGAGCAATAAAAAGTTATGATTCAGTGGTGTCATAAACATCCAACACGGTCGGTCGCTGCTGTCAGTGTACGGTGGTTGTGCTGGACTATCCATGTGTATCCAAACTACAGCGAGGCATCACACTTATCATTTTCTTTGTAGGCTACTTTAAGCTTCCATGTCGAGTCACAAAATGCAGGTCAACAGTCATTTCTTTTACATTTAACTACCCCCCTCCCCCCTCCAACCAAAGGCAAAACGGCTGCCTAAAACTAAAAAGGCAAGATCAGCTTTTACCTGGCCGGCAAGATTTGCAAAGTCTGGCATCATGACATTTCCTTCCCCAACCACTTCCTGCGGCGGTTGGCCTAGCTCATGCATCTGCAGAAAGGAAACATAATGACATCTCGTGTTATTTTGCTTTATAAAGATTGAAAGCTCTCTGGCTGGCGACAGAGAGACGTCTCTTTCTTCCCGCGACACCCAAAAAGGTATAAGCGGCGGATAAAACAAAAGAAAAGAAGAAAGTTTGAAAGCTGGCAGAGTGATAATGGAGACTCCCCCACTTCCCACCCCACCCCATATACACACCTCGCGACTGTATAAAAAAACATGCGAAATTAAATTCTTCCCCAATTCCAATTCAAGATATCTTTATTTGATAACCACCTCCCCCTACTCTCCCACCCCCCCCCCCCTCCCCGTTTTGAGTTTTTGAAAAATTATAATGGCATTTTCTGAGACACCCACCTTTCTATAACCACCACTTTTCTCTTGGACATTTTTGACAATCATGTCGTCGTTTGATTTCTGCTAACCTTGCTGCAACTGACCAAAAAGATAGGTTGAAAATGTTATTTTAAAAAAGAAACTAAAAATAAGTTGTTTTGTTTTTGTTTAGTAAATGTGTTTTTTTTAAATTGTTTGTTTGTATAGGTATTTATTTATTTATTTATTTTTTGGGGGGCGGGGTTGTT